TACTTAAGTCCAAGTCTAACCCGGATCTTCACCAGTATGAAGGAACGACCTGATACAGGTACCACAAGACAGTGAACCATTTTGGTGACACCACAAGCACGGCATGGTACTGACAAACCCAGAAACGGAAGCGTGGCAAATTGGGATTCGCGCCCAAAGTAATGAGTTTCCGGCGTGCCCAAGGGAGGTAACTCGTCGTGGCGAATTGCGGCACGGTGACGACATGGCCACAAGCCCACAAGGCTTACTCACACTGCCCTGCCAAACTGACCACGTAACTCACTTACATGAGACATTCAGACTGTAATGGTCACTGCTTTCATCTCTCACTCGGACAAAGCGAAGGCGAAATGTCAGTAAAAAGATGTCTTAACCGACCTCAAGAAGAAAGCACGGCACACTAAAGCTTCGTACGTTGACCTTCAGTGACATACAGTGCGGGCAAATCTTGTTTCCTGTGAATTGTTTCCGCCGACTCCACGTTTTTCATCTTTGACTTGGAGGGTTCACGCCGAAGTATTTACCGACGAGTCTAAATCTGTCAGCATCACCAAACTGACATATGTGTCCCAGGCGTCGATCAAACAATCACGTGGTACGAGACACATGTCACGTGGTGCAATGGCGATAGTCAAGGCTGTCAAACATTTTGAAACTTGTGACACCTGTCAACATGTCTTGTCAAAACACCAGCGGTTATTGCAGATCAAGTGTGGTGCGCGAGAGATTACATTCATGCAACAGCTACTGCGAATGCACGTGCAGTCCGTGCTTGTCATGCGACAAAATGTACCGGGCGAGGAGACATGTTGCCTCAGCCTGTCATCGAATACCGAAGTTGCAAACCGTTACTCGCGATATCAGTCACTGCTTTGAAAAGATTACAGCGTCGAGGATAGTCTGTCTCACAGTCCCTGAACCACATTATTTTCCCTACAGCCTAGCCCTCCCTACAATGTAGTCTGTCTCACAGTCCCTGAACCACATTATTTTCCCTACAGCCTAGCCCTCCCTGCAATGTAGTCTGTCTCACAGTCCCTGAACCACATTATTTTCCCTACAGCCTAGCCCTCCCTGCAATGTAGTCTGTCTCACAGTCCCTGAACCACGTTATTTTCCCTACAGCCTAGCCCTCCCTACAATGTAGTCTGTCTCACAGTCCCTGAACCACGTTACCATTTTTCCCTACAGCCTGGCCCTCCCCAATGGAGTGCAATGTCACAGTCCCTGAACCACATTATTTTCCCTACAGCCTGGTCTACAATGCAGTCAGTCCCTGAACCACATTATTTTCCCTACAGCCAGCCTAGCAATGTAGTCTGTCTCACAGTCCCTGAACCACATTATTTCCCCTACAGCCTGGTCCCTGAACCACATTATTTCCCGAACCACCCTACAGCCTGGCCCTCCCTGCAATGTAGTCTGTCTCACAGTCCCTGAACCACATTATTTTCCCCTACAGCCTGGCCTCCCTGCAATGTAGTCTGTCTCACAGTCCCTGAACCACGTTATTTTCCTACAGCCTGGCCCTCCCTACAGTCTGTCTCACAGTCCCTGAACCACATTATTTTCCCCTACAGCCTGGCCCTCCCTACAATGTAGTCTGTCTCACAGTCCCTGAACCACGTTATTTTCCCTACAGCCTGGCCCTCCCTACAATGTAGTCTGTCTCACAGTCCCTGAACCACATTATTTCCCCTACAGCCTGGCCCTCCCTACAATGTAGTCTGTCTCACAGTCCCTGAACCACATTATTTCCCCTACAGCCTGGCCCTCCCTACAATGTAGTCTGTCTCACAGTCCCTGAACCACATTATTTTCCCTACAGCCTAGCCCTCCCTACAATGCTAAAACTCTAAATGAAACAAGTCTAGATTTCTTCAGGTTCTGAATCCCCCATCTCACTGGGGCCACTTCTCAACTTAAATGGGTTTACTTGTTACTATCAAAAATATATACATGCATATTAGGGACTAAGTGGTGACTGTGTTCGTTCCCCTTTTGAAAACTCTTGAAGCAAGAAATACCACATATCTGAAACACTATGATAGGCTCAAAATTGTAGCCCTTAAGCCGAATTTATGAAATTATATATTTCTTGTCAACCGTCTGATGTCCGCTACGTGTGTTCTTTCAAAGACACACCGGTTGTGATTATTGATTTGCAATGTGTCATCGGATGTCGACAATCCATTCCAGCTGAATCCGTCATTGTTCGCGAATTAAATTATCGTGTTCTACACAAATGAAATAACAGATATAAAAGCAGTAACTGACAGCATGAAATTTCAGTTTTGTATTTTAATTAATGCTTTCACGCGACCTCATACGGTACGGCTGATATGATACGGCGATGGTTCTGAATACGATGAATGTTTCAGTAAGCGACGACTTGAACTTCAGAGCCATGTTCAACAGTATTATATATATATCTTGGCGTTTCATCTTGGATTTGAAATTCGCTAATCTACCATAAAGTGTTGAAAGTAAAGCCCTGATAATGTTCACTATATTCTCAGCTCCCTAAGAAATATACAACCCAACCTAGAAGGCTGAGTGCAGCGTTCGAAATACCTCTCTGCACGACCGCCCGGGACGGGTTATTTTCAAGACTGCCAGATTCTCAAATTAACCTCCCCGACGGTCGGGTTAAAATTTAGACATGTATATCAAGATATTCATCATATTTCAGGAAAATAATCATTCTTAACTCACTCACAAATGTGAAATTAACAGTTAATTCTTTTCTTGAATTGGCATGAGTTTTTTCAATATTTTAATTCAATAATACTAAGTAAATACTAAGCATTTTTTGTGGGCAAGTACGTTTTGGTCAGGGCTGGCAAGTTTTACATCTAACCAAACCTGTGGTCTGGCTGACAGTTTTGAGAGCGTCATATCCTGCTAAGAGTCATCCTACCGGGTACCCACGCACTGCTTGTTGAAGCAGCACAAAGACCCAACGTATTGTTCAGAATGCGGCGAAAAGAACTCTCCAAGTCCAGTCCTGAAAACTGACGCCCATCCCACTCTTCATTCACCTGGTTTGTGTCCTGTGCACTATACACAAGACGTAACATCTCTTTAACAGTGAAACACACACTGAACACTTATTAGTGAATAAAAGGAACGGATGTGTGCACTGCAACTGCGAACGACCTTGAGACAAACTAAAGGTCATGGTCACTGTTAAATATATATGTCAATATGTGATATCTATATGAAATACAATAATCGTACAGCATTATTGCATTTCCCTCGACGGAGCCTATATTCCTCCATTTAAAAATAGATACTGCCTACATTAACAATTTAACAGTGCTACGGAAATCTATTTGCATATTTAGCCAACATTTGGGTAAGAGGTCCTCTGTCTGCAAGGTCATCTGAGGTCATATCTCGACAATCAATAGATATTCACTCGTTGTCCCACGTTTACCATGCATCGTAGTTGCTTAACATTCAATACAGTGTGAGCATGCCGGTCCAGAGGGAGATCTAGTCCACGCATCATCATTCCGTCATTAATTAATCGCTTGGCTTCATTGATGTAATTTTAATTTGTGAATGAAATATGATCCGAAGTCCGACGCTACAGTAAGCCAAGATTATAACCAACTCAAAAAGTCCACTAATTTAGCTCGTTAGAATCGTAGTTCCTTGAACACACGCTAAAATATTCAACCAAAGGCAGTTCGTTACATGAGTCCGTTCGTTTTAAACGCAGTATTCGGTGTACTTCTAGATAGACCTGAAGAGAACGAATGCTTAGTTCATAAAACGGAGAACTGAATTGAAAACGTAGTATATGAGTAAAAATGTAATGGCCCATTTTTTTGTGTTTTCACGAACATCAGTCAAAATTCGTCTTGTTTTGAATCGTGTCATTTTAACACAGTTAAGATAAATTACCAAATTCATTAAAGCGAACCTGACGCACACAAATTAATCATCTTCACAATTTCTCACGCAAGGATGAAATTCCGAGCGACGGATCTCACAACAATGCCAATTATAATTCCATTAGTACATAACACAATGAAAGAAGCGCAGTCAGGTTGTCGGCACTAACCGATACCAGTGCTAATGTGTAGAGACGCCTGACTTGAAACTCGCGAGCTTAGAATCAGAGCTATTATAGATCGTGTATAGCCAAGCGAGTCACGCGAATGTCGTGAGATTTCTGCCGTTGCAATCTGTCATTCTTGAGCGTTCTTGTAATATGGGAACCAGAATGTTTTAAGCAGGCGTTTATTTAGACGAAAGCAGCAATCAATGATAACAAATTGTGAGGCAGGCCGATTATGGCAGGTCTTTTTTCCGAAATTAGTCAGAATTTACAACCGAGAGCATCAATTGTGTCATTTATGTTCAACATCCCTCTGCATCTTAACTGTTCCGGAATAACAATCAGCTTCAAATCCGCCAACGCGAGTGCGATACATCAAAACACGGTTTATTTTTAACCTTGACGTCATGTCAACGCTGGCGATCGATTTCATATCAAAACACACGGCGAGGAAATCAAAACATAAACATCGTGAAGCACGTGCGATCAGTGACGCATCGATTCCAACTGAAATGTAAACCGCGGGGTGTAAACAAGCCGTTATTTATGTCGACACGTATTTCTGATGTTTGTGCAGCTGTCTAATTAAACGTAATTACATTTATGTGACCATAAATACCATCTTAATAAGTCTAAACTAGATTTGAACCAGACTTCCTATCGTAGTGCTGTCAATTAAAAATGACCGGTTCCTTTTGTATGGGGATATATACATACACCGAAATCAATAGAAAGACAGCCTACTCTTGGTAAAAAGAATGCAGGTTCAAGCAGCCCCAAACGAAGACTGGCGTGGGTTAGACATGCTCTGGGGAGCAGTGCTCGGGGTGCTATTTTTATCCTGTTCGTGAATGAGCGCGGTTTAAATGGAAAATGAGAGCGATGCAGGGGGTCTTCGAGGTTTCGGATAACATCAAGTAGTTCCACCTACCTTCTTGTTGTAGAAGCCGATGGTAAAATCCAGGAAATCTCAGTCAGGGCTGTGGTGCGTTGTTAGTTAATTCCTTAATTAGGTCACAAAGAAGTAAATGACTTGTAAAAATACTAAGTCCGTCAACTTGTTCAAATGCCACGAAATTAACTATAGGTTACGTTGACTGATGACGATTCACCCTGTGAACGATTTCCGCAATATAAACAGCGTCTCTGTTACATCCTTTATAGAGGTTAGCGATGACGGGGGTAGGGATGCGCATCCCCCAAACACAGCATCATCAACACAGTTTGTGAGCAACAGGTTACACGACAGTGTCAATAGACGCGAGTCCTCATTCGCGATGTCAGCTCGACTTGGCGTTACAGTCACGAGACACAGTCCGCTAGGTTTTATCTCGGATTTACCGAGACGATATTCACTGACTGCCCTCGATCGCGTGCCATGAACGCTGAAGCATTGCACATGCCAACAAATAGCGTCTGTGTGCGTCGCCTCTCCACTCGCGTAAACGACACATTTCATTGGGTTCTTGTGTGTGGAATCACAGGCGTATCGAGTTCGGCTGCGTTCGGGAGCGCCGCTTCCGTGTCGCTGGTTTGGGTTCATTCACCTAGGATTGGTTCTCGGAGTTCCTTCTTGAATTGAGAACGCTGAGTGGGGCTACCTTCAACTGACTGACTGAGTTTTAGTTTTACGCCGCTTTTAGCAATATTCCAGCAACATCACGGCGGGGGACACCAGAAATGGGCTTCACACATTGTACCCATGTGGGGATTCGAACCCTGGTCTTCGGCGTGACGAGCCAAAGCTTTAACCACTAGGCTACCCCACCGCTCCGGCTACCTTCAAGTAATGTTTGACTAATAGTATGAAAAGTCCTTTGTTAAGTACCTCTACCTCAGAAAATGAGTTTATCGTGTTCTTGTTTTTAACCGTTCACGGGTGCATCTAGACTAACGCTTTGTCTTTGAGTTTATACTCTTATTTAAATTGAAAAGGATCACCAGTGAACCTGGGGAAATCTAGACTTGTTTCATTCAGGGCTTTTGCATTGCTCATCGTTTTCAGGCCCCAGCGGCCCCGGACAAAACATGATCTTCCCACTTTCTCTATTGGACACTGTGAAATGACACCAAGTTCTCAAGTCCGGAATCTTGGTGTAGTATTTGACTCATCTCTCTGCATGGAACCACATGTCAACAGTGTTTGTAGCAGCGCTTATTTCCACATTCGGAATATCGGCCTGATCCGCACGTACCTTGATGAGAAGACAACGAGTGCTGTGGTACAGGCGTATGTAACATCATACATTGATTACTGCAACTGGTTGCTTAGTCTCTCACGGTCCATGAACCACATCATTTTCCCTACTGCCAAGCCTCTCTGCAGTGCTAAAGCCCTTAATAAAGCAAGTCTAGATTTCCTCTAAATCTATGGTCTCCTTATGGCTCCTTTTCAATTTAAATGGGCTTGTTTGTTACTATCAAAATTATATATATTCAGAGACTAAGCGTTAGTCTACTCGTTGATCAGTGGTCTTCCAAGTCACGTGCTTCACAAGCTACAGAAGTCCAGATTTTAGCCGCAAGATTGATCAGCAGAACAAAGAAGATGGAACACATTACCCCTGTCATGGAAAATCTCCACTGGCTCCAATACAAAGTATTGCTTCTTGTTTTCAAATGCGTCCATGGACTGGCTTCAGAGTATCTTTCACAACTTGTAAAACCCTATGTTCCAACTCGATCTCTTCCCTCCAGTGACAAATCTCTAGTGCAAATTCAATGTACAAGAACAAAGTCTTTTGGTGACCGAGCATTCTCTTTAAATGGTCCCAAACTCTGGAAAAATCTACCACAAGAACTTCGATCACTGACTGAACTTGAATCTTTCAAAAGCCAGTTGAAGACTCATCTTTTTATCATAGTTACTTGTAGCTCCAAAGTGAACTCCGACAGCGCCTTTGGGCGATTACATGGGATTCTGGCGCTATACCAGTATTTGTATGTATGTATGATGTATTGCAGGGGGTGGGGGCAGGGTTGGGCTTGGTAGTAGGGAAAATAATGAGGTCTAGGGACTGTGGACAGACAAGGGTGCATCAGCAAGTCATGCATGATACGAGCTGCAGAGTATGGATGTGGTTTGTTTGTATATGTTTTACGATTGGTTATAAAACACTGCTCAGTATTTTTATTTTGGTTCATTCCGGTTTATGAACTATTTATAGAGACCTAATAGAACGAGCAGAAATCCAAATGCGATTAAATCACTTTTGTTTAAATCAATATAATTTTGTATGGATTTGCGAACTTGGTGCATCATTTTCGTGCCTGTTCTAAATCAAACGGACCCTGGCACCAAAGGCATCCAACTTAAATGGTCCCCGTGACTCTTATTTGTTTGGTGCTTATGTTCTGTACTGGAAGGGGCGGTGGGGTGGCCTAGTGGTTAAAGCGTTGGTTCGTCACGCCGAAGACCCCGGGTTCGATTCCCCACATGGGCACATGTGACGTCCATTTCTGGTGTCCCCACCGTGATATTGCTGGAATATTGCTAAAAGCGGCGTAAAACTAAACTCAGTCAGTCAGTCTGTACTGGAAGTGTTTTGGTTTAATGTCCTACTCAGAACTCACTGACATTGACGTCGGTCTGTAGTTATCTTACATGAGTGAGTGAGTCTGGTTATACGCCACCTTTAGGAATATAACGGCGGGGGACACCAGAAATGGGCTTCATTCATTATACCCATGTGGGGAATCAAACCCGGGTCTTCAGAGTGACGACGGACGCTTTAACCTTTAGGCTACCCCACCGCCCCCTCTGTGACATGACATGCAGCACTCAGACAGAAAACACTGAGTCCGAGCCGACTAGTCCTTATTTTAACCCTTTGTTCCGAGCCCGAGGCAAGGTGACAACAAGTAACATGTTTTAATTACTTTTGGTACAACATGACCTCGGATCGATCATCGACCGTCAGCTCTCCTTTCCACTAGAGAAATATCGTTGTTCATACCTATTAAGCGATCGCATATTTATTCATTTTTAAAAATATTTCTAATTGACTTTTAGAACTGTCTTGCTGTCTTCAGGCATGAAAAACAACGTCTGACATAACTGACGTAACTGCTTTCCATTCAAGTTCATCTGAGTCACCCGTAAGCCCCGTTTTTGTAACATAGGCCAATGGGGTTCAGCTTACTCAAAAACGCAAATAGACGTCGAATTGGTATGTTTTTCGTGTGTGTTATATATTTCGATATATGTTTTACTTGAAGTCAATGCTTCGGTGCATGTATTAGCTCTAGACTGACTGACTGAGTTTAGTTTTACGCCGTTTTTAGCAATATTCCAGCAATATCACGGCGGGGGACACCAGCAATGGGCTTAACACATTGTGCCCATGTGGGGAATCGAACCCGGATCCTCGGCGTGACGAGCCAACGCTTTAACTACTAGGCTACCCCACCGCCCCATTAGCTCTAGAAATCCCACAGTTATCCAAGTAGGATTGTATCGTCTAAGCAACCATAACTGATCTAATGAGCCATTCGCAGTTTCACTGTGCTAGAGTTGGTACTTAGACGTGCATGGCTTAATCTTTGAGACAAGCATATGATTACTGGTAGGATCAACCAGATAAGCGTCTAAGACCATTATATGAAAATGGTTCCATTATATCCCAGTTGCGTAGATCGATGTTCATGATGTCAATCACTGGTCCGTGTGGTCCTGACTCCATAGCTTACAGACAGCAGTCATATAGCTCTTATATTGTTTGGCCCAGTTTATATCGATTCATTACGTGGATACACGAAACCGATCCAAATAAACATATTTCGATACAATTCACCATTAATTTGTGAAGTCGTTACAGCCTCAGAACAGTGTGCGAAATAGTTTCCAAATTTTGCTAGTCAGTCGGACTAGCTATGCCTTAATGTTACTAGCCAACAGAATAATACACTAGTCCGAAATTTGAAAGTAGACACGAGTTTCATCATTAAGCTACTAACATGATGATCCTTTTTATCAGGCCATAAACCTGCATGATTTAAAAGTGTGTTATAACTTAATAAGACGGAGAGTGATATATTTACGAAATGACCCCATGAAAATTCACTAGCCAGTCAGGCCAGTGACTGTGGAAATTTACTGGCCCGACTGTATTTTTACTAGCCACAGGCTAGCGGGCCAGTGGCTATTTCGGACAATGCCTCAGAACATTCACCACATCCGGAATACTCTGGTGATGCAGAAAGGCGGAATAGTGTTCTTGATTACTGTCGTCTGAAACATTCGCCCAAACACAGTCGCGGTGTAAGGGAATTAACTCCGTACAGCGAAGCCAGGCCCTACAGCTGCTCAGAAGGTTGTTGTAAACCCGATTGTCGATATTCCTCGCCTCTGAGAAACTCTAGAGCAGGTTATGTAGGAAAGCGTGTAGTGGGCCGTCTCCCGCTGATTTACCACTCGGGGAATAATCACTCGCTTTCATCATAAAACACAATCCCGCGGTAAGGTGACGAGTATTGAATCGGGAAACGTACTGTTTGCATCACGATCGGTAAGCGAGACATGCGGTGGTGGAGTCGACAGCGTTTAGACGTAAGCTGTGACATTTTGTCATTAGACCAGGATCAAACGAAACCATTTGCAGATTACACAGACATCAAAGTGTTTAATGGCCAATGAACTGCCCCGCGAAAACGGGAATTTATTTGACATAAAGAGCTACTTGGCACCGTTTGATTGACACATGTGACTTGCAGGAATCTGCTTTTGGTAATTTGTAGATATGGAGAAGCACTGCTTCGTATTAATGATACTGTTTGATGCGGAATTTGTACACTTATTGCCCCTTATGTTTCTGGTCGATCGTTCGCGTCCAACAGCCTTTCATTTCGTAATCGAAATGTACTGGGTTAGTTCTCTATGGTAATGGTCAGGGCAGATTACCCAATTTGAGTGGATTAATGGGGGTTGTTACTTCGTTGGATTGACAGGACTGCTTATAAAATGGTAATAGATCTTCCCACAAGGAACCTGTTTTCTGTGTCTGGGAGTAATGACTGGATGGCCATGCTCTTGATACTCGATGAAAGTGGAAGTGTGTCTCTGCAAGAACGTTTGAAGATTGTCAACCCTTTCCGTGTTGCAGTCGTTACTGGGTCTTGTAAAACCTGGTTTAATCAGCTTTCGGAAAGGCATTCAAAACCTTTTAAGGTAGACAGGACATGTCCAAATCTAACACATCAGTTACCAAAATTATGTTCGATGTAATTCCCTAGTTTATCGTTTACCTGGTGGGGTAGCCTAAAGTGGTTGAAACGTCCACTCGTCACGCCGAAGACCCGAGTTCGATTCCCCACATGGGTACAATGTGTGAAGCCATTTTCTGGTGTCCCCGGCCGTTATGTTGCTTGAATACTTCTAAAAGCGGCGTAAAACCATACTCACTCAATCTTTTACCGGGAAAACGTTTGACTTGCCTTTCCGTGTGTTTGCGACGCTGTCTCCGGCCGCGACAGGAGTGAGTTTAGTTTTATGCCGCTTTTAGCGACATTCGAGCAATATCAATGCTTTGGACTCGAGAAATGGGCTTCACACATTGTACCCATTAGAGGAATCGAATCCAGGTCTTCGACATGATGAGCGAACGCTTTAACCACTAGGCTACCCCACCGCGACGGGCAGGATATGTCCACATTTTCAAGAACATCTGGTGTGATCACCAACAGTTGCATACCCGTGAAGATCTGGGTTAGAATATTGATCTTCAGTAACCCATGCTTGTCGTAAGAGGCGACTAACGGGATCGGGTGGTCAGGCTAGCTGACTTGGTAGAGTCATCGGTTCCCAATTGCGCAGATCGATTCTCATGCTGTTGATGACTGGATTGTCTGGTCCAGACTCGATTATTCACAGACCGCCGACATATAGCTGGAATATTGTTGAGTGCGGCGTAAAACTAAACTCACTCACTCACTAACTGTTGCAAGGATATATTAGACGTTTAACAATTTGGTGAAACCGTGAAACCCGTGTTGACAATCCAACGATCATAATCGAGCCTGAATGAGTTTCACCCCTGATGGTTGGTTTCACAATAGTTCTAAAACGCCTTTGACATTCCACCTTAACATTGGGCTTTCGAAAACAAATGTTATATTTGGGATTACACTTCTCAGCAAAGCACAGATTCTAGTGCATTTACGAGTTGGTTCCACTCCGGGATTCGAACTCTCAATTTCATCTAATCGGCGGTGCATGATATTGACATGAAGTTTGTTTTGAAGATCAAAATACCATTAGACCTCCTGCTTGTGTTTGGTTAATGGACCTGGGAAATTAAAAAAAGATTTCAGTCTCTGTATTTCAGTTCAGTCTCTGTATACCATTTAACATAGCCTTCTGTTCTAGGTGAACACAAGTGGTTGGGTGGCCTAGTGGTTAAGCGTTCGCTCATCCCGCCGAAGACCGAGGTCCGATTCTCAAAAGGAGCAAAATGTTGATCCCATGTCGAGATCAGTCATGATTTGACGGAATATTGCTAAAACGGCCTAAAGCAATACACATTCCCTCTGTTGTTTTCTGTAGAGCTTCCTCGGTAATGGCGTTCGTAGTTATGATTCCCCATAGGGAAAATTAATAGTAAAAGTTCATGGGAATCAAATTCCACGTGCACAGGACATGACTGACACCGGGGACGTTTTTTATTAATTTGTTTATTTCACAGTGCCGACCTGCAAATATTTCACAAATGTTTCAATACAAATTAAATTGTGTTGACAGTCGTTTTTGCTACCGGCGCAGCAATTTTCGTAATGAACAAACTTCAACGAAGGTCGATAGAAGAAAATAACTCTTTCATGTTTTCTTTCATGTATATTTTTTTCTTAATTTCAATCGACCAATAATACTCTAAGTGATCACTTTAAGAAAAAAACCGTATTTTTTCAATTTATTTTCAACCACCTATGGAATTTTAAAAAGGAAACGATGGCAAAAGATTTATATTCTGCCGGTGTAGAAGATTAAAGGAGATTAAATTGGCAAAAAAAGGTTTAGTTTGGCATCTGTTATGGACAGGTGGTGATGTATTTTATACCAAAGACACTTTTGTTCTTAATATCCTGTACCCTTTGGACTATTACTATAATACAAGCAAAATGAACTGCTTCCATATATCAGCTGAAGCCTTAACGGTCTGAATGTACACTACCGGACAGAAAGAACACACCCATATTTGGTTGTGCATATACTGACTGACTGAGTTTGGGTTTTAACGCCGCTGTTACCAATATTCCAGCAACATCACGGCGGGGAACACCAGAAATGGGCTTCACACATTGTGCCCATGTGGGGATTCGAACCCGGGTCTTCGGCGTGACGAGCCAACGCTTTAACCACTAGGCTACCCCACCGCCCCAAGGTTGTGCATATAACCGGTAGTTATTGGGCTGTGGTTTTCAACCATCTACAGGAAGGGGCGACCGATGTTAGAGAAAGGGACAAGTGATATTAGGATACGGAAAAGGGCGAGTGGTGAAAGGTTGCAAGAAGGGACAAGTGATATTAGGATACGGAAAAGGGCGAGTGGTGACAGGTTGCAAGAAGGGACAAGTGATATTAGGATACGGAAAAGGGCGAGTGGTGAAAGGTTGCAGGAAGGGACAAGTGATATTAGGATACGGAAAAGGGCGAGTGGTGACAGGTTGCAGGAAGGGACAAGTGATATTAGGATACGGAAAAGGGCGAGTGGTGACAGGTTGCAAGAAGGGACAAGTGATATTAGGATACGGAAAAGGGCGAGTGGTGAAAGGTTGCAGGAAGGGACAAGTGATATTAGGATACGGAAAAGGGCGAGTGGTGACAGGTTGCAGGAAGGGACAAGTGATATTAGGATACGGAAAAGGGGCAAGTGGTGAAAGGTTGCAAGAAGGGACAAGTGATATTAGGATACGGAAAGAGACTAGGATGGGAAATGGGGAAGTGATGAGCGGAGGAGGATAGTATCGAGTGATGGAAGGTTAGGTAACGGTCCGAATGACCGAATGGTTCCGCATTGGTCACAGGAAAGGGCGGATGATCAAAAGTTATGGAAAGCGGCGAATGATCAAAGATAACAGAATGGGGCGAATGATCAAAGGTTAGGAAAGGGAATGGTAGTTAAATGTTACGGAAATCGGCAAAAATCTTACCCTGTATTTCAAATTGACTTGTTGTTTTTTTAAAGACGTTCCAAAGTGTTTAATGTTTAAAATCATGTATAGACTAAAGCTATTTTAAGTGGAATTTGTTTTCACATTGACTATATACATGATATTTGATTGATGAACAGTCTTCACTCGAAATCATTAGTTTGTGTTGCACGTCCGATTAGTGTAAACAAATATCGCAGAATTCCAGCACATGAAGTGAAAACTTCGTCACGCATCTTTACAGACGAGAAATACAAAGATTTACCAAGACGAAACTGTACTTTGGCTTTACTGCTCAATAGACACATTCATACACGTCCTTATACTCTCAAATGCGTTTACGGTGGGCGCAGCATAGATGGCGAACCAGTCAAGTTGTCTTTGATACCATCCGGGCATGGACGGATATGATCTATGA